TTATTAACATTTTGAGATACAAGCAGTAAAATTGGTTTTTCAAAACTGAAATTTTTTAAAATAAGATTTTTGAAAAAACCAAAAATTTTTTAAAAAATGGGCACATTCATCTTTTTTTTTAGAAAAAGTGTTATGAAATTGAAAAAACTGATATCTGGATAATAATGAAAAGTTTTAGGTATTTTTATTCAACAGAAAAAATAATAGATATTTACGTAATTTTTCCTATTTATGATATAATTCAGTTTTTAAAACATAAGAGATTTCACATCTTATAATATAGGACTCACAATAAGCATGAAAACTCATTAACATTAATATCAATCCCAAGAATTTAATTATGAAAATGATTTTAGATATCACCATATCCAACCCCCATTTCCCTTCCCTACTCTGTCTCTCTAACTCATCTTTGTTATCTCTATATACCACTCTTCCATCTTTCTTATTTCTCTCACAGTCTCTCTCTCTCTCTCTCGCTCTCCCCCCTCTCACTGTTTGTCTCTCTCTCTCCCCCCTTTTGTGTCTCTCTCATCTTTATTATCTCAACTCTTCTTGCTTATTTCTCTCTTATCTCCTTCTCATCTCTCTATAACTCTTTTTCTTTTCTCTCTCATTTTTCTTATCTCTGTTTCTCAACTTTTTAAGTATTCATTCTTGATTTCTTATATTATATTTGTAGGTATTTTGGGTGTCAAGTGGCACACACTTGAACGAGAAGATCTTCCAGGAACCCCAAAAGTTCGAGCCCTCAAGATTTGAGGCCTCTTCAAAATCATTCCCCTCGTATACATACATCCCCTTTGGAGCTGGACCTCGTTCTTGCCCAGGCAATGAGTTTGCTAGAGTTGAGATTCTCTCAACCATCCATCACTTGGTCACCAAATATCGATGGTCAGAAATGGTCCCTAATGAGCCCTTGACCCACCAACCCCTCCCTTATCCAGCCTTCGGTCTCCCCATCAAGATTGAGACCATAAAAAATTCCCTACAATAAAAATTTCTACAATAAATGGAAAGTTTGGTTCCTTTGTTTTCTTCTTTACGTTGGTGCTACTTGGGGAAAAAAAGATATATAAATTCGTGCTTAAACATATAAATTCCACTTGTTTGATTGTATAAATAGTGTATATCGAAGAATGTGTGATTTGAGATATGTGGGTTTGTAAGGGGTGGTTCTTATTATATTAATCCTCAAAATTTGATCGAAACATCGATATGCATTTTCTCATTCAATTTTGGTAGTTGCAAAGTTATGGACAAAATAATCATGGAGTTTGGAAAGATGCATTATTGCATGATATTTTTTTCGTAAGTAATTCATCAATACTTGGTTGTTAATTTAAGGGCGCATTGGGTGCTATCTCAAACCAGGATTTGGGGGCATTTTGGTAATTAATTTATTTGTAGGAACTAATTAAAAATTAAAGAAAATTATCAGAAATATATTTTAATTTTGGCCTAATTAGAAAAAACCCTCAAAGTTTCATAAAGCTCGTCCATATTCTTTTTTCTCAATTTTAGTTTTTCTTTTTTTTTACAAAACTAACCTTTATGGTAGTTGTATTGCCGTGAAGCCTATACATCACGGTAAAACTTATATTTTAAGGAAGGTAATGTCTTGAGAAAATTACGATACTTTAAATACCATTATTCATAAGACATCTTATACAACACTTAAAATGCTGCGAGGAAACAAGACCAACATTATGAAGGGCCTGTGGGATTGACGGAGGCACCTCCCATGACATCCCCCAGCAATGTGAAAATAAAAAAAAAGATGATGAATAGAAATTTCTCTATAATTTTTTCATTTATTTTCACTTTCATGTCTATCTTACAAATTAGAAAGATATCTTTTTTTTTAATAAATAATTTTGAAATATATTCTTTATATATTTTATCTCTCATTGTACAACTCTTTTCTTTCTACCTCTTTTTGGATCATAGGGGGATATATCTTTATACTAATTTTCGTTTATCTTCTTTTTATCTTTTTCAATTTTAGAAGATATCTTATTAAATCTTTATTTCTCAAGATTTTAGGAGATTTTAAAAAAATGGAAACTCCATCTCGCTCACATAACTCTCTCCCTCACACCCTTACATATCTCTCACTATGTCTTAGGCATTATTTTTAAGAATCGTTCTCAATCCAATTTAAAAGGCACAAAATTTTTTAGGTGTTTTTTAAAAAGAAAGTCACTCTCCTTCTCTCTCATGTAACGCTCTTATATACCTTTACATATCTCTCCCTATCTCTGAGGCTTTTATGTTTAAGAATCTCCTCTTATCTTATTTAAACGGCAACAAAGAATTTATCTCCACCTCCAACGGAACTCTATCTTTATCTCCCTCACTCAATAAAAGAAATAAATATATAGAAAAGGAAAAATATCATGTACGTCTATGTGCGTATTGCTACAGTAAACCCCCGATGGTTTAGATTGAATTTGGGCCGATCTGACGGTCACAAACTCATTTTGTTTAAATTTTAATTTGTTTTCTACAAATCCAAATCACTTGAAATTTTAGGTGTGCATTATTCAAAAATAGTTAAATCTAATAAAAATATAAAAAAATATTTTACATGAAATATATTGACCAAAATACCTTCGAGGGTATTTTGGTTAATTTATTTTTTATGAATTTTTTTTGTAATATTTTTATTAGGTGTGCCTTGATGAGAAGAACACACGATTGAAATTTCAAGTGATTTGAATTTGTAGAAAAAAAATTAAAATTTAAACACAAAATGAGATCGTGGTCGTCAGATTGACCTAGATTCAATCTGGGCTGTTGGGCATATTCTTACAGGTACACCCGTCGGCATACCGTAGCATCTTCCAATAAAAAAAATCCACTAGCGGTTCTTTTTCTCTAGGTGTAGAGATGAAGATGAGGAAGGGATGTTGTGATTCTAAATAGGGAAATTTACGTGCGAACACATTTTTAATAGTGCTATAATGAAATGACCAAAAAATGTGCCGTTATTTCTCAGAAGGATGGGAATCCCAAATTTTTTAATTTTTGCCAAGTTTACCCCTAGTCTGATTTTTGAAACGTTGGGCTTGGTAACATTTCAAAGTGGTTGGATGTTTCAAAATCAGAAGGTATTTTCAATAAGAAAAAGAAGAAAAGAGTTAATGACCAAAAAATGTGCCGTTATTACTCGGAAGGACGGGAATCTCAAATTTTTTAATTTTTGCCAAGTTTGCTCCTAGTCCGATTTTTGAAACCTCGGAGCGCTTGGTAATATTACAAAGCGGTCCGATGTTTTCAAAATCGGATGGTATTTTCAATAAGAAAAAGAAGAAAAGAGTTAGTGGTCGAATGTTTTTAACATCAAATTGTATTTTTAATATTAAAAAAAAAAATAGTTAGCGGTCTAATGCTTTTTAACATGGGACCATATTTTAAAATAAACCTTATGGTAGTTGGAAACTATTAAAGGGAAATAACTATTGAGAGGAAATGGCAGGAGACATGGCTAAAGATCATACCTAAGTTGCCTTCTAATTTGGCAGCCTGCTCCTACTGCAAAAGATTGTTGAGAGAGAGTTAGCTCGATGCGTCCTCTCTCTCTCTCTCTCGATTGTAGAGAGAAAAAGAGATTCAGTGACCTTTCCTCAATCTACTGGTCTCGTACCTCACACATTCCCATGTGATTGGTCCAACGCCTGATCACAGGACAAACATCAATATACTCCAAGGTATAAACAACAAACATCAATATACTCCAAGGTATAAACACTTACGCAACGCATTAATGGAAATCTTTAGCCATGGCTCCTGCCAGTTCTCCTCAATAGTTGGAGGCAACAAAAGTTTTGTTTAAAAATACGGTTCGGCTATTTTTTAAAAAAATTTTACCAAGTGGTCCGAGGTTTTAAAAATCGGACCGGCTCAAACTTGTTAAAAAAAGAAAAATTTAAGGATAAAAGCGGTCCGAGATTTAAAAATCAAACCGGGACAAAACTTGGCAAAAAATAAAAAATTGGGGGTTCCCGTCCTTCTGGATAATAATGGCCTACTTTTGGGGTTTCACCACGTATCGACGCTCAAAAAAATTCATGATCACTACGATCCATGTTACATGGTCATGTAACCATCATCACCTACATTTGTTCTAGCAACCACCAAGCAATTACCGAGGCGACCACTAAACAACATCATATTTACTGTGTGAGCGTCGATACATCAAAGACACAATACTCATTTTTGACACTTAATTAATTTTTGAAAGTTTTTGCTCTTTTACCATAGTTGCCATTGGATTTTATGCTACGGCATGGACTTTTGGTCTAACCGCAGTTAGGAGGGGTAAACATTAACATGTCACTTGGCAATTAGAAAATTCCGCGCCATAAAATGAAATTTCTTGAATAGTGAATCTAGAATTAGCTACGGCCAACATTTCCCAAAAATGAGAAATGTGATCTTCCACACCACCCTAGTGCAGAAATTTCTCAAATAATGAGATATTTTTGGTCATTTTGAATATGTTTGATCAATTTTCATCTATTTTTAGTTTTTTCAAAATCATATCGAGATGAAATTTGAAGCTTACATGCACCTCACTGGGCCATGTGTATAAAAATAGAGAAAAATTAATTCAAATAAAATAAAGTAACCAAAACACCCCTCAAAATTTAATGGTATTTTGGTTATTTTACTCTTTACAAAATATTTTTGTGTAATTTTGAAGGTATGGATTCTCAAAGTTTAAGCTCAATTTGATGTATATGAAAGTAAATAAAATTGAAATATTAAGGTATATCTCAACCATATGATCATGTTCAACATCGTTTTAGGTGAGAACTAATTTGGAGTTTTAGTGGCATTTTATTTATTTTATTTTAAAATGCTTTATGTATCTTTTATAGATGCATGAGGGTGAGAAATATAGACGTCCAAAATTTTAACTAAATCAAAAGTATTGAAAAAAATAAAATTGAAATACTCAGACATCTTTGATCAAAAATCGTTTTAAGTGAATTGTGATGCAGTGAACCATAACCTCACTATTTGATCTTTTCTATGATTTAGTCCATCCCAGTAGATCTACCAAGGATGTGCTATGATTTTGAAACCTTATTCATTTAACAAACGTTACCATCTCATAAGTGAATACTTCGATGAACGGTAGAAATTGAATAATTTATAGATCACCAATTTTACAAAATTCTAGGTTAAACAAACCACAATTTCTCAGAATCCCCGTATAATATATTAACCAAACACAATTATTTTCCATTACATGATACTCATTTTAAGTTCCACCTTCCATATCCTAGAATTGGAAATTCCTAACTTTGCATTTTGGCTTCCAATTGATTAGAGTATATGGAAAGAGCACGTATACTATGTTCCCTTAGGAGAATAGTTGAAATAAACTTTGTCAGTCCGATGACCTACTTGAGAGAATTTTTCAATCTGAAATTTTGGAAACCACCTTAGAAGCACTAGATAATTATTCTCAAAAAAAAAAAAAAAAATTGAAATTTGAGTTTTCTAACACTTAGATCTCTCCCTCTAAAAGTTGGAAGGTTTTATTCAATCTTGAGATGTTATGTTTTCCAAGTTTTTATAGAATGCAATTAGGAAAATTTTTTATTAAAATTAATCTATGTGTTAAAGAGATTGTCTCCCCAAAATTTGGGGTTCTAAAACTAATCCTAGGTGGGGTTTTATCTGAGGTAATAAATGGACAATATACTCCCTAGCGAGTAGAACATCTTTTAGCATAGGGAAAAGATGGCATATGAGAGTAGATCCTACATCGTAAGGCGTCTTCGATGCAGATCAAGGTATGAATTGAAGGTTTCTTTTCTCAAGTTGGTGGTAAAGGTTGAGCAAAATCACATCTCCAAAACTTAGTCCTAAAAATACTCTCATGGCTTCACTTGATGGAGCAAATATACATTTTGCTTCCATGGGTGCATGTAGTCTTTGGAGTTTTCTCATTGAAAGTAAGGGAAAATCAAAGATAAGTTATTGGGGAAAAGTTCATAGAGAGGTGAAGCTCTAAACAATGAAATTTGAGC